TAGTGATGTCTGCCATGAGTGCAAGAATGGGTGATTGCAGCACATATGCCCCACCCATTTAACATCCCTGACCTAGAATAATCATCTAGAGCTCACAAGTTCTCTGGCTGTAGACACAGGCAGAGAGTTTATCTGAGTTTGAAAGCCCAAGGTGGTGGTGGGGGGGGAGGATACATCTTGAGGAGTATGTAATAAAGAGATTTATTGGTGTGGAGGCCCAGACTGATGGACTTGTGTGAAGTTTTTGCCCAGGAGCTCCGAATGTATAAAGTAATAGCTCGAATGGGAGTTGGAGTCGCATTCACACACGTTCCACCAATATCTATGTGTAAACAGATGCATCTTTCAACACCACTCTTCTGCTTTTCACAAACAGGAGAAACACTTTATAAATGGACCTCTGCCGCCAGGGCCCTATTCCTTCTATTCTCACAGACAGCAAACAGCTGTAGGCACAGCCTGTCTTAGGGGCGGGGGGAAAGCTGGAAAGCTACTTTGATAGGGAAATAAAGCAGGCATCGTGTTTTAATGCTTTGCTTCATCATGTACATAAAGAGAATTATTACCATTTCCTCTGATAATTGTATAAAAATATTAAGAAGAAGAAAATGGCTGCGGAATAGTATGAAATTACAACAACAAAAAGTCATCTGGTGCTCAACCCCCGTGTTCCTCCTCCAGAGGAAAAGCGTCTGGGTGGCACCTGCTAAGAGATGCCGAGGATCTCCACCAAGGTGCCTCCCAAGGGCACTTTTCCAGAGTAATTTTGACCTGTTTTCTGCCTGGGAGCTGACTTTAGGTCACGGCTCTCTTGCGAAATACACACAACTTTGCATGTACCATTCTCACAATGGGGCAGCTGCCCCTCCTGTCCTGGTTCTAGGTGAGACAGCCCCAGACTAATTTCACTTGATGAGAATCCAATACAGTGGGGCCTTGACTTACGAATGTCCCGACTAACGAGTTTTTTGAGATACCAGCTGTCTCTCGGCCGATTTTTTTGCATTGAGTTGATAGAGTAATTTGAGTTAACGAGCTCCTTAAAGAGCTCGGTCTCAGAACGAATTAAACTCGTAAGTCAAGGCCCCACTGTATTCTGTAAGTGCAAAGCGGTCCTCATCCTTTTGCTAGAAAGGTCTAAAGAATGTGATCCTGCCCGGCTGGCGTGCCTCAGTGGTTGAGTGTCGACCTAGTCACCAGGAGGCCATGGTTCGATTCCCGGTCAGGGCACATGCAGGCTCGATCCCCAGCGTGGGGCGTGCAAGAGGCAGCCGACCAGTGATTCTCTCATCATTGATGTTTCTGTCTCTCTCTCTCCCTCTCCTTTCCTCTCTGAAATCAATAAAAATATATTTAAAAATAAAGAATGTGATCCTGTCAGGTGAACCTACCAGGTTAGTGAGCTAGACAGGAAGTTGCAAATGTGTCCTTGGGTAACAAGGCAAAATGGAAATTTCTAAACCTTCTCCATGGCGCTTCGCCCTTAACCTGGCCTCCTTTTCTTCTCATGAGGAAAAGAGCTTGAAAATGGACAAGTGTAAGAGCCTCTTTTTAGTATGAGAAGCTACAGACACACTGCATGTTACTGTAAATCCTAGCTGTGAACACATTCCTCGCTTTTAAGCCAATTATTTAACAGGTAGCCTCAATTATGGATCCACAGAAACAATGGAAGTATAACATAGTGACGAATGGCCATCTCCGGTATCAGGGAGACTTGGGCTCAAATACTACAGCGCTGCCATTTATTTCAAGCTGTGTGAGCTTGAACGTTATTTCAACTTCCTAAGCCTTATTATTCTTATTGTATAACAGCGATGATAGAATCTTACGTTATAGGCTTGGGGGATTTGTCAAATGTACTTAAAGGCCACAGCATAGCTCCCAGCACAGAATAAAGACATGTTGGCTATTAATAAGAAATAAAATTCTCCGAGCAGCTAAGATATGTCACAAATCCTCTATGGCAGTTTTGCTCAGAGAGAGACCATTAGCTACTCACTCAGAGTCTATATAATTTAATGTTCACAGTCAGGACTGATGTATCCTGACTCAGACACAGTTTCGACAAGAGGGATCGTCTGGTTTCCCATGATCTCGCACGACAGGAAGCCCTATCATCTGACGGTAGGGACAGGCAAGAACCAGCACCGCTGTCAGTAATGAGAGGGACAAGGGGTGGATCAGAACCGATCAGACAAAGCAAGGGCTCCGCTGTAGGAGTCTCGGGGTATTTAGAGAGGGGACAAGCAGCCTTGCCTTCCTCAGTAGTCCCTGAAAACACCTCCCTGTGTCAGCACAGTGCCTCCGTCTTCCGTCGAAGTTCATGCATGCCCACTGCTTAAGAAGGCAGAGGCGCAAGTTCTCCAGTGCCCGGCAAGCACTTGCCTTCAACAAGGTGAAAATACACATTGTGATGCTTGGAGACAGGGGGGCTTCAGTTGCATGGAAAAATCCCCTTGGGTAAAGCAACTCGACTTCCAACAGAGCTGGATCCATGAGGCGTCACCCTACTTCTAAAGCCTACATCCCAGCAGATCGGCACTGTATGAACCCGCCACCCCCATCCCCAAGAGGCAGGGGCTCCTTAACTCTGGTACAAAGAATCAGGGTCAACTTGCCTGTGACACTTTAATGAAGGAAATGTGTTCTTGTGTGCTATGCTCCCTTTCAACTCACGGTTTCTGCTCCAGGGAGATAGAGTGGAAAACAACAGATAAAATCCAGTGAACGGGACTTCCCACATATGCTCTTCTGGTTGATGGCGTCCATGGAAAATTCTGTCCCTCTCCACACCTGGGGTTCCTTGATGGTAACATGGCTGGACGAGGTGGCCTTCCAGGTCCCCGCCAATGGGGCTGTTCTAGGATGTAGTTACCTGACCCAACTAATGGGAACCCAGTGAGCGTCCTTGTTCAGGTTCTCTAAGAGAGCTCTGAGCTGGCTGCACGCGCCCTGGAGGTCCTCCCTCACCAGCACAGCGTCCACCAGGTGCCCGTAATGCTGGTCGATGAAGGCGGCGGAGGCGGACATCTCTCGCTGCTCCTCATCCTGCAAGGAAAGGGGCAGTTATGGAGCAACAGGGTGGCTCTCCCCTCAAACAGGAAACCTACACCTTGTGTCTTGGGCAATGTCCCAAGCGAAGGGATGACTGGTGACGATGGTCCATGAATAACCAACTGTGTACACAAAGAACAGAGTGGAGTGAAAATATCCTAGCAAACTTCCAAGAAAGGGAATGGGCAGTAGACAAAATCATTCATTGTTCAGTCAGTCATTCACAAAATATCTACTCAGGACCTGTTAACTGCAAGCCATGGTATGAAGTTCTTGGCGGGGATGGGGGGGCAAAGGGGGGGGCGGATGCTGAATTCTGTATCTGTGTCAATATCACATTTCCTCTCCCAGGGTATTTCCAAAGAAGTGCTGCTATTGTGTTGCATGGCAATTTGGTTAAATAATTACAGGAAAGACCTATAAATAATAACAATAAAGAAGCATTTCTGGCCCTGCCGGCGTGGCCCAGTGGTTGAGCATCAACCTATGAACCAGGGGGTTGTGGTCTGATTCCCAGTCAGGGCACATGCTCAGGGCTGTGGGCTCGATCCCCAGTGTGGAGTGTGCAGGAGGCAGCCGATCAACGATTCCCTCTCATCGTTGATGTTTCCATCTCTCTCCCTCCTTCTTTGAAATATATACATATACATATACATATACATATATATATTTAAAAGCAATTCTGAAACCAGTGGGGGAGGGAGGGGAAAGAAGTCGAATAAGGAACTCTAATGCCCTCTGAAGACGCCTAAGTTCATGCTGTAGAACTCAATTTTTCTTTTCATTTCCTTATACCAGGGCCAAAACACGACACAAAGTAGAGGTAAGAAAGTGCTGGGACAACACTGGCCAAATTCCCCATTTCCTTAGGGTACCTGCCTCCTTTAATCAGATTATTTTCCTGACACCTCACACTAAGGTATAGATAGCCAATGACCCCGCCTTACCAAACTCACACAATGTTTGCTGCTGCATTCAAGAAACCTCTAACAAATAGAATTTAAAGCAGAGAGTTGACTAACTTGAGTTTGGGTTGGGGAAGAAAGGGACAGATCCACTCTAAGTCAAATTGCAAAACAAAGTTTGTCTTCGGCATTCGCCCCCCTCCTATCTCTTCCCAGTCCCGCGTTGCCTTCTCTCCTCTGCTTTTAGGGGCTCAGTGTTTGGATGCTGCCATGGAGACGGGGGGGGGGGGGGGGCAGCTGTCCTCCCCCAAAGAGACCCACCTTCCAAAAAAGTCCCTCCTCCTTTTCTCTCTGTCACCAATCAAAACCTGACTCCTGCTTCAGGGAGAGCGCCTGCAGTTTCGGAAGTTATGTTCTAAAGGGCTAGGGAACAGTTCTTATCTGCTAAGACGGCTGAGACCTAAGAGAGGATTCAGATCATTCCTCCTCCTCCTTTCCCTCAGGAGGGGAAAAGCTAGATGAAATGTGGAGAAGCTTCCCAGTTCTAAACTGGATCTTGCAGGGCCCCTCTGGTACTCAAAGGTGCGCCACAGTAACCCAGTGCCGCCCCTGGATCTTCAACCCCACCTCTCCCTCCCTCTATACACACAGCCTGTAGCCCTGTCTGTCTGTTGCTGCCGGAGTTTCCCCTGCTCCAGGCCCCTCGCTGCGCACCCTGGAAGCATTTAGCTATTTGAGAAATGGCAGAAGGAACATTTTTGCCATAAGTGCCTCCATCTTCCTAAGGAATATTCGCATCTTGAAAGAACTCAAATCTCTAGTGGAGTGAAATGTGTGACATTTGTTTTGCAGCCACAAATCCCCTGCACCCTTTTCCTGGCCTGCAAAGGTGGCCCGTTCAACCACCTGCAGCTTCAGCAAGAGTCACAGACCCGAACAGCCAGCAGGTGGGCAAGGCTCCCCTCATGCTGCCTGTTGCCCCATGTTGGATTAGCTTACGGGTCTGGACTGGGTTTCAATGAAAGTGTCAATTAAAACTACTTGGGTCTGGCTTAGTTCAACAGATTGGTGTGGTTTGTGATATTCAGGTACCTATTCTCAGGGAGGGCGGGTGGGGAACCCGACAAAGCCGCCCCTATCTAAACTGGGAGGCAGCGCTGGCTGCCCTACCTGGGCCATCGGGTCACTGACCAAGGAACTCTGACCAATAGGCAAAACGGAAAGATGACCTTTGGCAGGAGGTACAAGCACCCTTGTATATAATGGTAGCAGGCCCTGTTGGGCCTTTAGAAAAGAAATGACCAATTTTAGTCTTCGCTGGTTTGGCTCAGTGGATAGAGTGTTGGCCTGTGGACTGAAGGGTCCCGGGTTTGATTACGGTCAAGGGCACATGCATGGGTCCCCAGTAGGGGGCGTGCAGGAGGCAGCCAATCAATGATTCTCTCATCATTGATGTTTTAGCTCTCTCTCTCCCCCCCTTCTTCTCTAAAATCAATAAAAACATATATTTTTTAAAAAGTATGAAAGAAATGACCAATTTTAAACTTACAAGTGGGGCTGCTATGTCCTCACAAGCCGGGGACATGGGTGGCATCTTCCTTTTTTCCTGAATTGCAGGCCTTACAAATATAATGTAGGGCTTGAACTCTGAAGTCCTCAGTCGTCTCAGTGCCTGTGAAGACAAGTTCAGGAATGCTATATACTTTGAAAATATTTTACTGGGAAACATAATTTTCAAATGCTCCATAATGGCGTGCTTCACCACATGACCTCAATGGTGAAGGTTCCGACTATATGGTCATAGGACAATGAACTGGGCATTCTCCTCTTCTGCTCATTTTCTCACTCTCCACGTGGACTGTGGACTCAACTGGAGGCCTGGAGGCCTGCTTGCTGAGATGGGAGGTGCCGGAGCCTCTGCTCCCAGAGTTGTCATCTCTTTGGCTCTGACCCCACCAGCTCGAACTAACCTCCTTATGCCCTTCTCTGCCTGCCCAGGCCTGACGGGTGAGCCAGCAGGACTCACTGTGTATCTATCTAGTCATCAACTTGGACTACGCCAATTCGGAATGTGTGCTATCGCCCAAACCTCCTACTGACAGTCAAAGAAAAGGTTTGCTAAGCAAATGAAGAGACTAAGAACTTGAAACAAAGTGTGAAGACTTTAGGAGGTTTTCAATAGGCAAACGTCCTATTAGTGCATTCCATCTTAAGGGCCTCTGTCTGGAAACACTGGCATTCAACTGCTATCTGTACAATTTGCAGCCAAAACAATAAAAATCACTTTCCAAATCAAATCCTGAAATTTTGACTGCCAACTCCCAGTAACTCCAAATTAGGGAGGGTTTTCCTGATATATAATGTGCTTTTTGGAATTTGTTTCAAGCAAACTTCTATAAAATAAAGCCTAGAGCTTATAGCAAAACCAGAGTGCTATTTCAATAGAGGAATAAAACATCTCCAGGTTGAGGTCAACGCTTAGAAGTGTTTCTCAAAGACAAGGTGAAAAACGTGGGTCAGCCCCTGTCGAGTACACAGCAGGCAGGCTGTGCAAGACGGAAAGGGTTTTTGAAGCGCTTCACAGGGACGTGTCTCCCCCTTTTCCCTTTCAAACTGTTCTCCCGACCACCTCCCTCGGTGGTTCCCACGCCACTGACTTCACTTGTCCTGTTCAAGGAGGAGGTTCGCTGTGCAAAGAGCTGAGTCCCAGCCTCCAGCTGGGCACTGACATCTAATTTCCTGTCCCATCGCAACTGGCCAGTCGGCGCCGCCCTCGACTGCATGACTTACTCCATGCAGAGTCCTACCCCGGGTCTCTGGCTGCCGAGGGGTCCACGACTCTCTACAGTGTTAATGCAGTTTTGGTGCATATTATGGGATGCAAAGCTTTCATTAGCTTCTCAAAGGGTGACCCCAAGAAATTTTAATATCCAGTGCTCTACACTAATAAAACTCCCTTAAACTGAGGTCAGATATGCTGTGAAATGTACAACCCTCTAGTTTATAAATTCCACGAATAAAACATGCCCAACTGGCCCAGGAACTCACGTCCGGCTCTACGTCCACCAAACACACTTTGTTTTTGGCCATCACAGCGTGAATGGCATCCAGGCTGGTCCCGTAGAGATTTTCCTTATATTCCCCATGCTCCAGGAACCTAAAACACCAAAGGGGAAAAGCCCTGCAGTTCCCGAGCTCGCCCAAATTGGCACAGAAACATAAATGGACTTCCACCACGATTCTCTCCCCTCCTCCGCCTTCCCTGGAAGCCCTCCTGGGGGTCAAGAGGAACACGGGGCAGATGCGAAGACCCGCACCCACACCCAGGGCCCGCTGGCGCACCCAGCAGACGTACCTGTTGTGATGTATGCCGGCCTCGAATGCTTGCTTAGAGACAAAGTGATACTCCACCCCCTCCTTCTCATGGCTCTTCCGGGGTCTGGTGGTATCTTTTAAAGAAAGAACAAGGCAGGCTGAGCAAGGAGATGTCACATGACAGTGAGTGCGAACAGCAGGGAGCCTGTGCCCTCCTTTGGAGTTCACTGATGCTTTGTACATAAAGCAACGTCTTCCATCCAGCCAGCGTCTCCGTGTCAGGCACGGGGCCCTTTCCAGGCGCATCGCTGGTTCACACACTCTCTGATGGAAGCAAGAGGCCTCCCATCTTGCAGGAAAGGACACGGAGACGTGCAGAGAGGTGAAGCACCATGTCACCGGCCCAGAGCCGGCAGGTAGCAGAGCCAAGGTCTGAACTCTCTGTCTCGTGCCAGTGTGGGCCCTGAGCACGTGGCCAAACTGCCTCCCTGATGCTGTGGCTTCCAAGGAACCACGGGGAAGATCCCAGGCCTAACCCTTCATGAGCCCCTCAGCCTAACTGCTTTTTGAGAGCAGAGGAGGCACAAACATAGGTAACCTTACTACTGTCTGCTTTTACTTCTTGATTTAAGTATTCCTCATTTTGAGAGAAAGGAGACATGCAGACCGTCCCTTTATGGAGGAGATGTCACTTCTCACACAATTTCATAGCACATAGAGTTCCCGCTGGATTTCCATAACAGAATTGAGATGCACACTCCTGGGGGGAAACGGGTCCGCCCCAGCACAAGAGCACACGCGAGGCAACACACAGCGCTTCCTGCGCATCCCAAGAGAAAGGGGGGGCACCAGGGAGATGCTCTGTATTCCAGATGTGGTGCCTTTGGCCAACCTCTGGCAGAGCCGCTGGGTCGCTTTTCTGACCATGTCATTCCCTTGCTCTGAATGTTTATTCACCCACTGATTACATCTAAAGACCTTAGATGAGCATAGGGGACCCTCGTGATCCGCCCAACCTCCAACTTAGCTTCATCTCCCCGACATCATCCACACCAGCTTACCCAGCCCCCGACACGGCTCCGCCTGGTCACACCTTCCCCCCTTGCACGTGTTCCCTCTGCAGAGAGAATTCTTCCTTTCCTCTCTGCCTGGAAAACTCCTATTTACCCTTCAAAACCCACCATAAAGGTCACTGCCTCTAGGAAGCCTTCACTAACTCCCCAGCTCCTAAACGCCAAGGGAAAGTCACCTCTCTGTGGAGTACCTGGAAGCAGGTGGACCCGACCATCCGGGTACCCTTTCTCCAAGGGGTGTGTCTGAGGGTTTCAAAGGACCTATGTGTGAGCAAGTTCCACATGTCCTGTTCCGGTCCATCCTCTCAGTCTGGAAGACCGTGGCTCCCTGAACCCTACCAGGTCCATTACCGATGTGTTGCCAGAATGGCCTCCCAACCCCACACCCCATCCCCATCTGCACCCCTGCCATTTCAGGTTGGGCTCTGTGAGACAATTCTGACAACCCACAGACGGGGCTATGGGCCCCAAGGCCCAGGGGCTTTGTAGCGGCCCTTCCTCAGAACATTCTGAAAAAGTCCCATCACCGCCACCACAGCATTCCCCCTTGGCGGCCACCAGGTGCCAACACGGTATCCTGCGGAGGCCAAGGGATGGACAGAGCCCCACAGGACGGAAAGGGCAGGGAGAGGCAGGCTGCCATGCAGCCTGGTTAAGAAAGTGACTGGAGCAGGCTGCCTGGGTTTGAATTGTGGCTCCACCATTTACCAACAGTGTGATGTTGGGCAAGTTACTTAACCCCTGTGAGCCTCCGTGTCTTCCTCTGTAGTATGGGATGGTAATAATCCCTCGTCTCAGGGGCACTAGGAAGGCTGACCAAGTTAGTCACAGAAGAGCTCCTGGTGAAGGTCCTAGCACTCTTCATTCTCCTCTTCCTCATCACATCCAATCCGCCTATTGGATTTCGGCATCCCTGCCTGCCTCTGGACTCAGGAGCCACCCTGATGGGCCAGATCCAGCTACAAGGGAGAGCCCAGGCAATGCTGCTCGCTGGCTCGCTGGCTTCCCTGCCCTGCTCTCTTACCCAGCGGCCAGCAGGGGCCACAGCAGCCAGAGCCATTTGGAAAAGGAGGCGGGAGGCCCCTGGGTGTTCGCTTGAGGTTGCTATTTTGCCTGCAATGTGCTCTAGACTTACCTCCCATCCCAGGCAGGAACCAAGCCAATTCTGGGAGTTTAACATGCATACAATTCTATTGTCCCCCAGCTTCTGCCTCAGCGGGTCCCAGTGGACCACTCAGAGTGGGCCATTCCCATCACGCCCAGGTCCCATGATCTGCTCATAGCAGGCGGTGCTTGGCAGCCCCTCAGACCCCAAATAAAGATGAGGATGGATACAGGGAGTCAGGCCCCATGAAATATTCACGTGTAGGGCCTCCCCCCCACCCCCCCAGCCCTCTTACGTGGAACAGCAACACCAAAGTGCTGTGGGCTCTCTGCCACCACCTTCTGCTTCAGCTCGTGCAGCCGGGCTCCCAGAGACCCTAGGAAATGAAGGGAAGGCTGACCAGAGACCCTGCTGAGCTCCCTCCCGCTCCTCCAGGGAGGAGACCAGCCCACGCCCTGGGGAGGCAGCATCACCTACCGATCAGAACTACCAGGCGGGGCCGCTTACTGGGTTGGTGCTGGTACCTGGTCACCTCCTCATAGGTCAGCAGCTCCAGAGGCTCCGGTCCTGCAGATGTCTTTCCTTCCTGCGGGCTTCCCAGTCTCTCCCTGCGGCCCAGCCGGAAGCTCCTTCGAAGACCAGCTTTGGGGGAAGGGCAGGGGCACCATGACATTTGTCCCAGGACCTCCCACTAAACTCTTCCCACCTGGCCTAACCTGGAGGAGGGTCTGAGGCCCACTGGCCTCTCCCAACCGCCTCCTGATACAGAAAAGGGTTGATCAAGACACACAGTAACATGGTGAAAGGGTGACCCCCCGGCATCCAAATATAGGGTCCCAGGTCCCTGTTTTACTTGGCATGTGACTGACCTTGAGTAGGTCATCACCTCTCCGAGCCTCAGTTTCCTTATTTGTGAAACAGAAATATAAATCTACAAATGCAGTGTGTGGATTGGGTCCCGGGTCAGGGGAAAATGCGCTAAAGCAGTGGTTCTCAACCTTCTGGCCCTTTAAATACAGTTCCTCATGTTGTGACCCAACCACAAAATTATTTTCGTTGCTACTTCATAACTGTAATGTTGCTACTGTTATGAATCGTCATGTAAATATCTGATATGCAGGGTGGTCTTAGGTGACCCCGTGAAGGGTCGTCCGACCGCCAAAGGGATCACGACCCACAGGTTGAGAACCGCTACAAAGGATTTTGTTGGGACAGTCGGCAACATTTTCATATAAACGGTATATAATAGAATTGTGTGCATGTTAAACTCCCAGAGTGGGATCATTGCCCTGGGATATATAAGAGAATGTCCTTGTCCTTAGGGACCACATGCCGAGGCATTTAAGATGTGAAGGGACAAGCTGTCTGTGACCAACTCTCCCACGACTCAGGAGTAGATGCATATATGTAGAAAATGGGAATGATACAGCAAACGTGGCGGAAACCAACTGGTGAATCTGGGTGCGGAAGTTCTTTATACAATTCTTACAACCTGTCAGTAAGTTTGAAATTACTTCCCAATCGAAAGTTAGAAAAACTCTTTGCCTGCCTCTCGGGTCTCTGAAAAGACTGACCAAAATGCAAGAAGCGAAGGTGCTTGGGAAACTAGGAAAAGGCCCCTTTATGGTACGGTGGTGGCGTAACCACTGAATAAACTGCAGTTGAGATCACAAGACTAACACAATCGGTATTAATGGAGGGTCCGTGTCAGGGCTCGGCTGTCAGTAGCTGGTGAATGTTGAGGTAACGGGCAAGGCCTGGGCAGGTCAGTCCTCCTCTGCTGACAGAGACGGAGGGGAATGTGGGTCCCACAGGCCCCAGCTGGGCACTCAGATGGCTTTGCTTCTGCCTCTCCCTGCCCCGGGAGCCTGTGGTGGGCTGTGCATGGTGCGGAAGAGGATGTTGGGGGAAGACATTTGTCCCAGGATCTCTCTGCTACTTACCCACATAATGCCCTTTGAGGTACCCCTCACAGTCACAGGTCTCTGCGAATCAAACAGAGGAGTCCAGTGAGCCATTCTGGGCACAGACCCAAACCCAGAGGTGCCAGCCCCTGGATGGCATGGAAGAGCCCTCTGGGATTATGTCTCAGGGAGGCTCAGGAGAAATCCCATGTCCTGCCCCCCCCCCCAAAAAAAACAAGTTCTTCTGTTTAGCTCAGTTCTCCGTGCTTATTCCTCAAGTAACTTGTCCAGGCCCTAGCAGGTTCTGGGCCAGCAGATCCCATCCCAGTCCCTGAGTCAGGATCCCTGTGAATAAGGAGGGAAGATTCACTAGCCCTGCCCTGCTCCTGTCTCGTGCCTCCTACCCAGCCAGCATCCTGGGAAGGCTGAGCCCCGTCCCCCCCGAGCTCTGCAGCCTCAAGGAGCAGGCTGGACCAGCTGGCAGAGCAGGGAGAGGTGGGCAAAGAGCAGGAGGGCACAGTCACCCCAGAGTTGCGGGGGGAGAGGAACAAGCCCCTCCGGCCCCAGACATTCCACAGAAAAGGGGCCTTGTCCATGCACACAGGGGACAAATACCAGGCCTACCTTTGTCACAAGGCTGATCATCTGCGGTTTGCACAAAAGACAGATGGAACAGCGTTAGCGGAGGGGAACAGGAGGCCCTGCGGCCGCGAGACAGCCATGGCCTCGTGTGCGTGTGCCTGAGGAGCCCTCCATCTGTCCCCCCTTTCTCTCCTCCGGCAAACCTGTGATCCGAGCTGGGCTGCATTATTAAACCAGGACTTCTCTAATTAGTCTTCCTGTGTGTGTCTCATTAGCAGCTCAAAGAAAGCCAGCTCATCGCTGGCGTAAGCAGCCTCAAGGCCAATTTATTCAGCAGCCCTTTGATGGAGAGCACGTGTAGAGGAGTGGGCGTGGGCAGCAGCCGCCAAGCCAGGGGAGCAGCTTGCTCTAGGAGCCCGCAGTGGGGCGTCCTCTCCAGGCCCTCCCTGGGCCCCTGATCACAGCCCCCCCTCGTCCCACTCCCTTGGCCTCCTGAGCCTCTGTTTTCCCATCTTGGAAAAGGAGGTGCTCTGAGCCCACTGCCTCACAGGCTGTGGTGACGATTACAAGGAAGAAGGTGGGTGGATGTGTTTTCTAAAAGGTAAAGTGCTACATGGAGTGGAATTGGCAAAAAAAAATACAAAACACTGGGCTAAATGGGCTAAATTTGAATTTCAGAAAAACAAGGAATCGGCATTTAGTAGAAGTATAGCCCATGCAGTATTTGGGATAAGTGTATTTATGCAAAGAAATGACTTGCTGTTTATATGAAATTCAAAAGTAATTGAACATCTTGGTTTTTATTTGCCAAATCTGATCCCTAACACAGAAGCACAGGATCTCCAGAGCTGTCTCCCCAAGTCCGAGGTTCCTAAATGGACAGGACCAGTGTGCCCCTTGGGCATCTAATGAAAGCTATGGACCTTCTCCCAGACACAGACCAACAGCCAGACACACACACACACACACACACACACACACACCACACATTTGCACACAATTTTGAGAGAGGCGTTCATTTGGCCCCTAATGTCATCCATGAGCTCCTCTCCAGGGAATACCTCCCCCCAAATTAACCCCCATTTCCTCTCCTCACCCCTCTCCCCACCCCCTCCTTCCTCTGGAGGCTGGGAGGTCAGAGAAGCCCTTGGTGCTGCCTCCTGCCCAGCGCCTGCTTCTTCCTGGCACAAAGTCCCCCCCCGCCCCCCCGAGTCCTAACCCCGGCCCCTCCCTTAAGTACCATCCCTGCCAATCTACTCACAGGGGGGCTTCTTGAGGCTCTGGGGGCTCGGCAGGGTGCCCGTGGCTTTCCGGTAGCTTAGGCGCCTGTGGACAAGGAGATAGATGGACAGGCCCATGAGCTGGGCCACGGAACCAGTCAGGGGGGTCTTACAGAAAACTTGGAGAAACTGCTGCTGGATCCTACAGGTGGGCACGGCCTGGCAGCCTGAGGGCCTCCGGCATCGCACCGAGTTCCAGGGAAGAGGGACACGCACTGGTTCACAGGGAAAGAAACGGAGTCTCCTGCTCTGGAAGATGCCTGCCCAGCCCTGAAGGTCACACAGGGATCCGGCCCAGCGCCCGGGTCAGCAGTCGGTTGTTACTGTCCTACAACCGATTCTCAAGGAAGGGAGGCCCCCTCCCCTCTCTCCTGGCCTTCCCATTCCCGAGGAAGCTGGAAAATAGCAGGACTCTCAGGAGAGGCTGAGGGTGAACGTGACCCTGACTTAACGCCCTTCTCCCACCGGAGACCTCAGCCAGACACATCATCCAGCCGGGTTGTCCGTGGAGAGGCAGCTGCCAAGGTCTCACCTCTGACTGAGAAAATGCCAGGGCTCTCGGAGGTGTTTCGATTTCCACATCTGAATGCAGCTAAAGAGCCTCCCCGCCACCCCGGCCCCCCGCCCCCAAGACCTGTGAAGCCAAAGATGCGGACGGGTCTGAGGCTCCCCTGAGGAAAGAGCAGGTTCTCAAGCTGCAGCACCTCAGAATCACCTGGAACCTCGGTGAGAACAAAGAGCGCAGAGCCCACCCCGGGCTTTCCGACCCAGCAGGTCCGGGGCAGGGCCCAGGAACCTGCACTTCACACAGGTTCTCAGGGGACGCCGCCGCCCCTGGCCGGGGACCACTGAAACGCATGAGCGAGGTCTGCAGGACTTCAAACCTCAGGGGAGGCCGATGCCGTCTTAACTGCCAGCCCCTCTGACCCAGAACTTGCACTTCTGGAAATCTATCCTAGGGAAATAACTTGAAATATGAGGGACAGTCTATGTGCAAGATAACAATTGCAGGCTTGTAGCTGTGAAACACGGGAGAAGACTGAAAGGTGGGGAAGGGGTAGCTTTCCAGCTAAACTGTAAGCTCCTCCAGGGCAGAAAGCAGGGTTCACAGCAGCCCACAGGATGCCCCGCACAGGCCAGCTCCATTCACAACAAATCCATTCATGCTGCCTATGAATGAATGGTGTAGCTCCTGATGAACTAGTACGTAGCCACTACACTCACACAATAACTAATAGGCAATATGTGGAAAATGCTGGCGTCAAAATGGATAGTTAAAAGAAAAAAAGCAAGATCTCAAAACACTCATGTAAAAAGCACAGAAAGGAAATAATTATGTAGTTTAGATGGTGGTGAGACCTTGGGTAGTTTTCTTTTCCTTGTCCTCTTCTTCCATATTTTTATATTTTATTTGTCAACTTTCTCTAAGTATGTCTTATGCAATATACATTAATAACAGAGATTTCCATATATTTCTTTAAATCTCAAACAGTCATCGCCACTGGTTATGGGTCAAGAAGGACCAACACAAGTACAAGTGGCACTTACCTCAGGGAACAACACACAGTGTGTCCCTCTGGCTGTGGTTGCAGAGATTCGTGGGTTTGCCATGTACCCATTCCTCTGCCACTCCAGAGCCACCCCCTTGCAACACCCCCAGACCCACCTTTCCTGGAACTGCTTGGAGGGAATAAGACCAGCTCGAAGGTTGGTGTCCCCCACTCGCTTGGCCTGCCACCACGTAGGGTCATCCTGGCTCACCACCTCCAGAACCTGCCTGCGCTGGAAGGGCAGGCCTGCCTCCTGGCAGGGAATGGCCCGGTCCTCCCGCGGGTTGTAGTGGAAGAGGGCCCGCATGAACACCTGCAGGGGACGGGCTGGGTGAGGCGACCCTTCATCGTGGAGACATGGACATGTCTATGCCACGTTGAAAGTCAAATGACAAGTACCGTTCACCGTTAGGAGGCATAAGCAGCCTTGAGAATAGATAGCTAATCAGAAACATACTGCACATATTTTCTTATTGTTCTTCAACCATTTTGGATATTAGAGTCAGGAAATCCCTCAAGAATCAGAAAATTAACAGATGGGCCCCATGTCTGAATATCTTTCTCCAACCTAAACGTTTCCTTAATTACCTGATCTGCTGTGCTCAGCGTACACAATGCAACAATTAGTCCTGGGGACAAAAAGTAAAGGAAGCACAATCCGTCATTCAAATGTGATTTCTGATATGCTAACCGCCCCTAATGAAGGCAGCAGCCATCTGTTAAATAAGTGATCTAGATGTTTTGGTAAGAACACAAATCCCAATAAAACTACTGCTACTGACTCCTCACCATCATTTTTCAGTGGGTACTTGACGCCCACATTTTTTACAGTTCAATCCTGACTCATCTGTCACACGTTTGGCTAGCCCCCAACTCTCCCCTTTACCCTGAAGTCACCCCCTCCAGAGAGGATGGTGGGGAGACACAGCATTTTGTCACACTTCCTGGTTCTCTTCTATAATTCAGTGGCATGGGTTTATTTATTTCTATTTGGGCCCAATTACTTAACAGCAAATAGACAAAAAAAAAAACAGGCCAGAGGGCTTCCTTAGGGTAGTGATTCTCAACCTTTTCCATCTCAGGGCACACATAAACTAAGTACTAAAATTCTGTGGCACACACAAAAAATATTTTATTTTTGGCCAATCTGAAAAACAAAATAGGTATAATTTTGATTCATTCACACTGGATGGCTATTGTTGTGTTGGCTGTTGCCATATTTTTATTTGACAATCTAAGGGAAAAGAGGTCAGTGCCCCTGACTAAATAGTCAGGTATTGCATGTTTTAAAAATTCTGTCAGCAAAAAATAAAAATAAAATAAAAAATTCTGGCAGCACGCTGGTTGAAAATCACTGCCTTAGACAGATTCAAATCATATCCTTTTATGCCCTCCAGAAATGATTCGGCTAGTAGCCCACAGTAAGAACCTTCTGGCCAGGTATTTTGAGGACAGATACCCTCATCAAGCCACCGGTGTCACCAGGGTCCCAAACACTCAGAAGAGTATAATCCTCAATGGCCGGCCCCGATCAAGCTTCTGGCTCAAGAAGAAATACTTGGGAAGGATGAGCTAAGGGACTGGAAAACCAGGTTCTCTCCCTATATCAAGTGAAAACCTTCAGCAGCTGCATCTGGGGACCACATTAACTCATTCCAGAAAGAACCACCTTCCATCAGGTGAGAGCCCATATATGGTTGCCCTGGGATGCAGTGGAAGAGTGCAAATAAGAAACTAGCCACAAACACCTTATTTCTTCGTTTGTTTAAAAAAAAAAACTGACATCAAACACAATGTCCATTGTTAATCCCATTCATTAAAGATATTTATTGACATCTATTCTGTGCCAGGTGCTAGAATGACCCTCTTTCTTGCACTTAGTATTGGGAGGTGGGGCTGGGAATCAGCTTTCTTGAAACATTGGCATGCTCCCTTCCTTCCACTGAAGAAAAGCATGCAATTGCCCTAGCTGGTGTGGCTCAGTGGATAGAGCGTCAGCCTGCGGACTGAAGGGTCCCAGGTTCAATTCTGGTCAAGGGCACATGCCTGGGTTGTGGGCTCGATCTCCAGTAGGGGGTGTGCAGGAGGCAGCCAATCAATGATTCTCTCTCATCATTGATATTTTTCTCTCTCTTTACCTCTCCCGTCCTATCTGATAGCAATAAAAATATATTTAAAAGAAAAGGAAAGAAACCGAAACCGGTTTGGCTCAGTGGATAGAGCGTCGGCCTGTGGACTGAGGGGTCCCGGGTTCGATTCCGGTCAAGGGCATGTGCCTGGGTTGCGGGCACATCCCCAGTAGGGTGTGTGCAGGAGGCAGCTGATCGATGTTTCTCTCTCATCGATGTTTCTAACTCTCTATCTCTCTCCCTTCCTCTCTGTAAAAAATCAATAAAATATATTTAACAAAAAAAATTTATTTTAAAAGAAAAGGAAAGAAAAGCATGCAATTCATTATGTTATTTCTGCCTTGGCTGTGAGGGTAGTTCAGATCCAAATGTTTTTGAAATTAATTAATGCCCTCATCTGTCCTCTCTACCACCACCCTAAGCTCAGGTCTGAACCCCATCTCCACTGGGCTTTGACAACAGCCTGCAACCAGGTCTCCCTACCTCCAGTCTCCACCTGCTCCACCTTCCTCCATATGCCAGATGGTTGAGTGCCAACCTATGAACCAGGAGTTCACGGTTCAATTCTGGGTCAGGGCACATGCCTGGGTTGCGGGCTCGATCCCCAGTAGGGTGTGTGCAGGAGGTAGCTGATCAATGATTCTCTCTCAACATTGATGTTTCTATCTCTCTCCCTTTCCCTTCCTCTCTGAAATCAATAAAAATATTTTTTTTAAACCACAAAACAAAAACACAAGCCTTAAGGTAATTCAGAAGACAGCCCTAACCCACCTCCCCCACTTCACTCCCAGACCCCACCCCAGTACATACTCCCTCCATTACTTTGCGCTTCTGTCTATGCAGACCCGTCTGCCTGAACTTCCTTCCACCTCTTCTTCACCAGGGACCCACTCATCTCACCCTCTTCAAGCCTCACTCCCTCGTGCCTCCCGTGCGACACCTTCCACGGCGCCTGTAACCCCGTAGAGAATCTTTCCATAGCATTTGTCACGTGGCAATAAAAGACTTGCTCCCCGGCCTCCCCCTGAACTAGGAAGCCTCAAAGCTCCTAATCAACCCTGTCGCCAGCATCTGGCAGAGCACCTGGCACAGCGGAGGTGCCCCACAGAGGTAGGCTACACGGCGAAATAAATGGCAGTTACTTAATTGGTCCCAAAGCCAGCACATTGGGTACCTTCTCCTCCTCTTTATGTCCCTGATTTTCTATTTCAATTAAAATGTATTAGTAAGCTAGGTCGAATGTGGTCTACCGACAGGCAGGGTACAAATAAATGAATCACTTTGTGACAGGATGGCAATCTACTGAGCACTTGTTCCGAGGACCAGATGTGCAATCTCTTCCCAAATGACCGTCTCAAAGGCTGGGCTGGAGCCCTCCCCGGCCCTCCAGCTCCCCCCCACCCATACCTTGCTCTCCTTTAAGCGGTCCTCCTCCTGGGTGGCTGGGATGATTTTCAGGGTGATGGATCCCTGGGACTGAGCCTGAAAGGAGAGAGAGCACAGGCTCACCATCCCCCAGGCCTAGCCCTTCATGAGTTCACATCTCACTTCCCAGGTCTGAAAACTCACGTTCAGAGGCAAGTCAGACTCACTGCCTCCCCTGGGACCCACCCTCCAATGGTGACACCGGTTGAATTAACAAAGCAAAACTCAAAAGCCAAAACCTGCATTTCAGACAAAGGGGCATAAGATTTTAAATGAGACCCGAGGACAATGCATACACTGAATCCAGCTCTGCCTCCCTCCTGACCTCTCGTGCCCCCCAGGGCTGCCCTCTCTCCTTCCTCTTGGGTTATTTTTAATAACCTCGCCCAGTTTCCTTTTCCTCCTTCCTGCCTGATTAGGGGCTGGTTCCCAATCAGTACTTTCCTCTTCGCTTCCATCTTCCCCAGGGAGGTCTCCAATCCCAGGCCACTCCTGTCTTCCCAGGGGTTCCTCTTCCCTCTGCCTGACAGAGACCTTGCACCCCCACATAGGAAGAAGCTGTCAGCCCATGAGAGCACCTCTCACTGGTCTCCCTGGCCTTGCATCACCCTGGAACACAAGCAGGTTGGTGCCCAGAACCAGGGAAAGGGCCGTGAGACAGGAAGACTGAAGGGGCTGCCTGCAGCCTTAAAGAGCCAGCCTTCGCTCTTCCTTCACATCTCAGCCTGCTTCTGCCCCCAAACCATAAGAAGTTAGCTGCCCACCCAGGGTGGCACAGTGGTTGAGTGTCAACCTATGAACCAGGAGGTCAGGGTTCAATTCCCAGTCAGGGCACATGCCTGGGTTGCAGGCTCAATCTCCAGTGTGGGGTGGGCAGGAGGCAGCCGATCAATGCTTCTCTCTCATATCATTGATGTTTCTATCTCTCTTTCACTTTTCCTGCCTCTCTGAAATCAATGAAAATATATTTTTTAAAAAAATCAATTTTTTTAAAAGTTAGCGAGAAGTGTCATGTCGGGGGAGGATGCTGAGGATACAGAGGACAGAACTATGACTGGGGCTCTTTACAATTTCAGTTTTGGCTTGAACTCCCAGAATGGACTCTGGAGGCTGTTTACACCCCAACACAGATGTGAAATGCTGTATCCTTTTCCAGATGTTTACATCCGAATGATGACCACACATGGGATGAGAAACCATCCCTGTCCTTGCTTTCCAGGAGAGGAAATCAAAACTCAGAATGACTGGGTGACTTGCCCAAGGTTGCACCACTAGGAAGTGGCGGAGGCAGGATTCACACCCAGGACTGTCTGATCCCAAATCCCTTGCTTGGGTCCTCCCTGTGCTTCAACCTCTTAGTCCATATTCCTTGGTCCTTTAGAAGAGGGGCCCCTTTTGAAGGGGGTCTCCCAGAAGGGTCCTCAGGAAAGGGAGCTAGAGGTCAGGGGAATGACTGAAGAGAGGGTCTGCGAGAGGCAGATGGACTAGAGCAGTGGTTCTCAACCTGCCTAATGCCGCGACCCTTTAATACAGTTCCTCACGTTGTGGTGACTCCCAACCATAAAATTATTTTCGTTGCTACTTCATAACTGTAATTTTGCCACTGCTATGAATCGTCATGTAAATATCTGATATGCAGGGTGTATTTTCATTGTTACAGTGAAAGAGTTGTTCCACCGCCAAAGGGGTCATGACCCACAGGTTGAGAACCGCTGAACTAGCCCTCCCAGTCTTAAGAGGCTGACATTTCATAATCAACCATCTCCTGCTTGAGTTTGGAGGTTCAGCTTTTTTTGTGCGCCTCCCTCAAGTAAGCCCCAGCGTTCAAAGCTGTCTTTCCAGATATGACTGGAGAGAATTTAACTCGGAGATCAACAACCCCTGTGAACTTTGAAGGGCTGAGACAAGACCGCTGTTAACCATGTTATACCCAGTGTAAGCATGAGAAAAGCACACCCTAGCAGGGTTGTAGGCGACCAGGGGGCTTTCATTTAAAGGCACCTGGGCTGAGTTGAAGAATTACAAAAGGTACCCCCTCTGGATTGAGGCAACGCTACCTCAACCCATCTAAATGCAGGACTTCCAGGTTTTCTTAAATTGATCATGCCTTTCAGTTTTCCCTATTATATGTGTAGGGTTCTTTTTCATCCAGAATTTACTTTTAAATTACCCCTTCCACTTCCAACATTCTAACTGGATTATTTGACGGAGAGATAATGAGATTCTTTATAACCGGCTGCAGATCAACTGTGCAGCTTGAAGGATTTGAAGATATCGTGCAACAGGAAAGCCAACAAGTCCATGTAGAAATTACTGCCAGGAGAATAGCAGAAGACTTGATAATATTACCAGAGAGAGGTCATTGTCTTTATGTTTTGTTTTCTGTTCCGTGATGAATGTAGAGGATTTTACAGAACCGTCAGTGGAAGAAACAACATATAGGGGGTGGGCAAAAGTAGGATA